CATCTGGCTATTCCTCTCTAGAGTCAACATGTGACAGCTGCAGTGTCACACCTTGGCTCTCATTATGGGGATGAGTGTATATCACTCTCCCCGTAATTGACCTTTAAATACTTATGTCATATTTTTATTGATGTCTTTTGCTGATTGAGAGCTCTGGCTATGACTGGGCCTGGAAGGGGGGATGGAAACATTTCAGGCCTCAGCAAAGAGACCACTGCTTCCCCACGGAAAGCAAGAAAGCAAGAATCCTTTTCTGCAGCATTTTGGCTTTTCTACTTAATCCTCAACTGCTTTCTAAGGAAAACAAACTGTAAGCTTTAGCTCACCTTTTGTCTTGATGCAACTGTATTAAGCTCATCTAAACCAAAGGTGGACTTAATGTGCTTTATTCACTAATAGGCAAATAGGCTGAGCACATTGCAAGGGGATTTTTCACATTGCAGGGGAGGTTTCCCTTAGCTTAGCGGTCAAAATCCACTTTGCAAAGAATAACCAATCACAAGCAAGGGAATAAAACAGTATTTGCTTACACATGGCTGGATGATGGAAGTCAGCAGAGCTCAACACATTCACTAGGCTAAGGGCAAATTCCCTTGCAAAGTAAACACCTTATTTGCCTTCAGTAAATCAACCCCAATAACTCCTTGCTAACAGTGAAAGATATTCACTTGCCCTAATTTCTATATAACATTGCAGGAATTGTACCTACATGGACATTCTCATCATGCCTGTGGATGTGATAAATAACCCTCATCATGAGCCAGAGAACAAGAAAATGACGAACAACCCGCATGAAATAATGGATGTGACTTGCCATGTTTCCAGCTATACAATTGATGACATAATACCACCTCCTCCTCTATTCGATGACCTCGTTATTGAGACCAATAAAGATGTCCATGGCAAGCTGCATAAAAATAGTGAAATTGCAAGCAGCCAGTATGGAATTAATGTTTTCATTGTTGGGCTATTCTTGATGTTTGCGGTCTATCTGAAGATCCTTGGACTGACTGAGAGTGATCGTCTCACCTTCCTGGTCATCTTGATGCTGATACAAGTGGTATGGATGATATTTTATATCTCCATCAGTGACTGGAAGAAGTGGGCCACCACAGAGAAAGATGAACATGCTGGGGCCAGGTGGCTAAGATGTAAGTCAAAACAAGATTTATTACTTTTATATTTTTTATTATTATTATTATTTTTATAGTCGGACTACCTATGACACATTATACCTCTAACCAGGTACAATGCTGTGACTCTGCACTCTACACTCTCCACTACAATCTAATGAATATTCTTCTCTGCTTTACCCAGAGATGTACCCAATCTCTACCTAAATCGCTTAATAGTTACAATGTAGAGGTGGCAATTCCAGCAAGATTCATGTTTTCATGTTATTACTCACTCTAAATAGGGACTGTTCTTAACATTTGTGCAGGGTGGGTAGATTGAGCCCAACACATAGTAGATTATGGCTATTAGAGCTTAGCTCCAGCCAATACTTTTCGGCTTTCGGTTAAAAAAATTAAAAGTGAACTCTAGCCCAACATTTTTTGCCATAGTTTTCTTTAGGGTCAAAGGAAGACATTTACTATGTCCTCCTGTGGCCTACAACTCAGCATATAGTGGCTACTGCAGAGCTGTGCTGCGGCCAGGAAGGATCCTGACAATATTGTTGGGATCCACTCCACCACCTGATTGACAGCTGGCTCTGCCTCTCTAGAGTCAACATGTGACAGCTGCAGTGTCACACCTTGGCTCTCATTATGGGGATGAGTGTATATCACTCTCCCCGTAATTGACCTTTAAATACTTATGTCATATTTTTATTGATGTCTGTGACCCCATTAGGGAGATTTCATCTCTTTCTGTTCCTGGGACAGCAGTAAAATAAATAAGGGGAGCTGTTACCACAGGGACAGGAAGAAACAGGCAGTAACAAAAATCTGACTGAGGTTCTAACCCTTCCTTATTTTATTTACAAAGGGTTTTCTGCAGACTACACAGAATGTTTATCACTTCCTGTCCCGGCAAGAAATAAGAGAAAAATCTCCCCAATGGGGACACAGACCTGACAGAGATTTAGTCCCAAACTGCTGTGATCAGGAGAGGATCTGTGCACGGATCCCATTCTGATCAGATAGTGTGAAAGGGGCTTTCATGCTTTTCAAAGCTTGTTAATGCTTTCTAAGAGCTTTGACAGCTGCTAGGAGGAAAGCGACATGAAAATCGCATTGTAGCAATCATATATAATCAGTAAATAAACTAGTACACAGGAAAGGCTTTAAAGTGAACCTGTGCTCTGCTTATGCAGCCTCCTGTTAACTCTTGCACAGCAGCACTGGCTGGGAGAGGGAGCAGAGCACACCAGGGGCCAATCAAGGTCTGCTACATGCACATGTGCTGAAAGAAGAAATCAGACTGAGCAGAGTTGAAAGCTTATCATTTTGTTGCTGGTCTTCATTGTCCAATCAGCAGATGGGAAGGTGACACTACTGTGTTCCTTTATGGTAATAGAAAAAGAGTTATCACCCTCCGGCTGTGCTGTGCAAATCACAATAGTGGCTGGACAGAATAACAGATCCTTTGGGAGATGAGACCATTCACTTATGCAGGCATCTCTTTGGGTCACATATGGGGGGGGGGCGGCAAGCAGAGCGCCATTGCTCTGTTGCACAATGTTTGCAGTGTGCCAGCTTAGATTTTCCAGGCAGATGGGGTAATGTAGATGGGTTCTCCTGCACATGCGATGCCGATGTGTCCTGGAACAGCTGACAAAGTGTTGCAATGCTTGACCTAATGGGCGGTCACACATTCCACCACCGCAAAACTAGGTGCAATTACATAAAATGTGTGACCACGTGACCGGTCACACATTCCAACGTAGTATACGGCAGCCGCACACTACGGTCTGCCGCCGGGACACCTTACACCGGCGCCCGCAACTTCCCCACAAGGTCACCGATGCCGCCCCGAGGCGCTCTGCCGCCCCGAGGCCAGGCCTCGGTGGCCTTGTGGGAAATCCGGGTCTGCCCACCACCACCACTTCAGGTGGCGAAAATGCTACACAGGGACACCCCTACACTTATGTACATTTCAGCAGTTCATTTAGTTGTCTGCAGCATTATATTGTGAAACCCAATGTACAAGGAAGAATTACAGTGAATTTCAGTATCTAATTACAGACATTGAAAGGTAACATTTACTGATTCTTTTATACGGTATAACATTACCTAATATTAGATGCAAAACATCTCTTGAGTGATTTCTTGTGAATCCCACAAATGTGTTCATGAAGGTAAAACATACAATAGGCGATTATACATCTATTGTACATTGTGAAGCTTTGATTGAAAAGTCTGACAGCAGCTGTAAACACACATGTCCTTGGGGACCCCATATAAAATCCATAGCCTGCAGGATGGAGATCTAACAAAGGACTTGAATAGAAAGTTCATGGACATCCACTGAAAAGTTGAAGGTTACATGGTGGATTGCCTACAAGGAAAACTTTAAAACACAGGAATTTATTTCAATTCCGTTATACGTGATGTATTTATTTGTATTTAATGGATCACGTTATGCTTTATAAAAGCTGCATTAACATCCCTGCATTTTTCAAGCAGTTAGATTGGTTTCTAGAGATTTCTCATTTTAGTGCATAGTTATTGCATGTTGTTTTTATTTATTTAAATACAATGAAAGGCTTCTGTATGACAGTCTAAACAAGTCCCAAATCAAGTTACTACAGTTTGTGATGTACAAGCCTCATTAAAAAAAAAAACAACCCTTCTTTTACCTTCCCTGACTGAGCTAAATCCTACTTCATTTCTGTCTCACATGCTCCCTCTCCCAGACACTGCAGCTGACAGTGGGATGATTTCAACAACAGAGGCAGTGATCTCAATCTAGAAAGCAGTGGGCAGGACTAGGTGTGGCCAGGTGACGATTGTCAAGCTACAGGATTGTGAGTTGGTAGTGGCAATGCTGAATGCCACACCCTCACAACATGTTTCACCCAATTGTAGTGCAAGCTGGCACAGCCTACATGAGAGGGGCAACTCTGTCCTTGATTCAAGAGTAATGCACAGGCAGCTGCACTAGGTGGACTTCCCTGGCAGGATCAACATGTATATGGTACCTGTTGTGACTGTGTTGAGACTTAGGGAAAACTGTAAGCGCAGATGCACTTATAAATGAATAATTATCTCTGCAAATTAAAAGCCATTTGATTGCTCTGCCCAGGATCCTTAACCTAGTGCATGGAACACTAGGTTCCATTCCACTCTGTGATGTCATTGCAGAGGAGCAGGGTTGGACAGCTTGCCCCCCCCTTCAATTTGCTAATGGCACAAATCTAAACGGGACCTAGTGCTACATTCACCGAGTCCCCTGTGGGTGTCAAAAATTATTTTTTACGTGTGCTGCAGCACATTTTTTTAAAAACAAATGGTAGGCCATACTTCTAGAAAACCCTGGAGCAAAAGGCAAAAGAATAGGCGAAAGGACGGCATGACAGGGTGGGCATGCAGTCAGGTAGAGAAAGGGTTAAGTTAGCCTAAGGAAGGTGCTCGGGTGTCACTTACCGTGATTGGCTGGGTCAAGTGGTCCAGGAGGAGCATCCAGGGTGGTTAGAGCAGGAGGAGGGGTGATCCAGGCAGTTGGGAGTCAGCACAAGGTCAGTTCACTTCTGCAGCTTTCCTTATCCACAAAAATGATTTAGAAAATGTCAGATCTCTCTGGCCTATTTGCTCAATTACAAGCAGCTGCAGATGCTAATGGCTCTGCATGGCTGCAGACTTAAATTCAAAGCTTGCTGCAGCCTTCTCAACCACAGCAAGGACGTAGGGCACCACGCGCTAGGCGGTCCAGGCCTCCTGAGCGCTTTTCCCCTGCTCATTCACAAGTTTCTGGGGGCTCAGCGCCGCCTTAGGAGCCCCTCTAGGGACCCTCCAGAACCTCCATCTAAGCGCGCTCCTGCGCTTCCAGATGCTAGGCCTGGGAGGAATCCTCGGCATAGGCAGAGCCCAAAGGAGCTGGGTGCTTCTTCTATGCCTCCCATCCCCCCCTCCCGCCCTTCACACACTCAGGCCCCTCCGGCCGCCTCACCCGGCGATGCTCCGGTCGGGGAGGCGGCTCAGCGTGGGACACGTTCCGCTGCGGGCGCCGACCTGTCTCCTGGCGCGGTCGGTGGCCCCTCCACCTCCATTGCTGTTCCCGGGCTGCCCTCTTCCCTGCCTGATCGCGCGGCGGCCTCGCGGAGCAGGCGCCGCGCAGGACACCTCTCTTCTGGCGGGCCCTCCCTAGGACGTGGGAGCGCCCGTGACGTCACCGGCGTGCGCGCCGGCCCAGCGGCAATCAGGGGAATCCCTTTCTGATGTGCCATCCACCTCTGCTGTCCAGGACTCCGGGCGATCCAAGGGTGAGGAGGAAGAAGAGGAGGATGTGGATGCGGTTTGTAGGGTTAAGGGTTGTAGTCAGCAGTGGGTGGTTGGGTCATAGGACGGCTGTGCCTTACCCTGTCAAGTTTAAGTACACTCATAGGTTTGAGCTGGTATATAACAATTGATGTGATATTGTGCTGTTTACATACATAAGCTCTACTCAAAAGTGATTCATTTAGTTTTTGCAGGATGCTGGTGGCTGCCTTTGTAGTGGCAATACTGTAGATATGGTTCAGAGCTGGGAAATATGCTGGGGGAGCTCATGATGGAAACCCTAAGAAACATAAGAATTCAGAATGTATTTCAACTGGCTAGCAACCATGACAAAGAAATACCATTTTAGGCTGGAGCAGTTTATGAGAATCTGTCACTCTAATAGGTAGGTGTGACTGAGATTATTTTAAGAATAAATCATCTTTGGGTACTAATAGGAAACATGAAAGGTACTAGATGGACCTTTGTCTTTATTCAACCTCACCTACTATGTTACTGTGCTGTATCATTGCCTTGTGCTTGAATATCAGGATGGAATTTGTCATGGATGTTTCTGGTTGAGACTGTGATTTTTATCAATATGCAATCTTGCACAGAACAGAAAGACACAGAAAACAGAGTTTTGTCTGAAAGATCTGTTCTAACGAGTTACATCTTCAACATGTATTCATGTGCCTTAACTATTAACAAAAATGTATGTTATTCGTGTATCACTCGGCTGTAGATCCTCAAATCATCTCTGAATTGGTGCTGACACTGTCCTTCCTTCTGGAGGGTGGCTACTTTTGTTCCCCATGTCCCTGTGTGTGGTGTAAGGTAGACACCGCTCCAAGCTCACTCCCGTGATAGACTTCAATCTCATGTTTAGTTTACTAATTTGTACTGAGATTGTAGTCCATCATGAGAGCTTGGAGTGGTGACTACTTTACAACACACACAGTGACCATGGGGAACAAAAGTAGCCACCCTCCAGAAGGAAGGACAGTGTCAGCACCAATTCAGAGAGGATTTGAGGATCTACAGCCGAGTGATACACAAATAGGATACATTTTTGTTAATATTTAAGATACTTGAATGCATTTTGAAGATTGAACTCCTGAGTTTCTATAATATACGAAAGGAGGTGATGTAGAATGGTGTGCAGAGCTAGCAAATAGGATAGTATAACTCTGTAGGAGGTCAGTAGATATGTGTTGCAAGACTAATAGGGTTATTCACAAAATGGGTGAAGAGTTTGAGATTGCAGGAGAAGGGAACAATCTAGGACAACATAGCTGATTTGGAAAAATGCTCCAATTCAGCTCACTTTCCAGTTCAGCTATGTTGTCCTAGATTGTTCACTTCTCCAGCCTTCTCCAAACTCTTCACCCTTTTGTGAATGACCCTGTAAATTTCTAGGAAAGGAGGGGTGACAGTACACTTGTGTAAAAGTTTAGTCTTCACTAAAAAATGGGTATACAGTTCCTTTATACAAAACGGGTGATCTTGTGCTAGTTATGAACATAATAGTGGACTTCTCTTTCATTAGATTTAGATGTTTAATAAAACTGTAGACGACAGTTCATTTCATAAAAAGGTTCTTATTTAATAAAAAAGCAAGAAATGTTTTCTTATTTCTGATCAGCTAAACAAATACTCTTATACAGTCCTTCATACCACACACAATTCTAGAAAAAGATGACATCTGCCTTGCATTAGAAATAATTTAAATTATTATGTTTTTAGACAAAAAGAGACAGCAGCCGTATTAGTATTATTATCTTCTCTGCATTAGTATTGAGCAGGGTCGTAACTAGAAATCACAGGGCCCCATAGCAAAATTTTGTATGGGGCCCCGTGATTGCTAGTTATGCCACCTGCAGAGCCCACCTGGGAGTGACCCTGCTGAGCCCGCCATAGACTCTCCATGCCGGGCTCTGCAGGGTCTCAGATGGGCTGCACACCTCTTACCTGTCAGCGCTGTCCGCCTCCGTGGTCGCCGGGCTCCACCTCCTCTTCCGTCCCTGGGCCACGCCTTTTCTTCTATTGACATGCTCCGCCTGCTCTTAGGTCGCTGGCCAGTGATGTAAGAGGAGGCGGGGTTGCTCCTAGGCGGGCCCCGCCTCCTTCACTGCGAACGCCGGCCTTTTCTGCCACAGCTCCGCAGCGGCTCTGAGGGGAAACACGCCATGGCCGCTGCTGAGCTGTGTCAGTGACAGCAAGCACCCTTACATGCCAAAGCGACCCAGGCAGCCCACACGGCATCAGAGGGATGCCCTGGCCAAGCCCCCCTGTGCCCGGGCCCCATAGCGGCCGGCTGGGTCGCGATGGTGATTGTTACGCCACTGGTAGTGAGGTAGTCCACCATCGAACCTTCATCTTCATAGTACATATTCCTGACCATAATCGTTTAGTCTATTTCCCTCATATTCTGTCAGACTTTCCAATCTCAGTCATTTATAAAATGTACAAAACGTTAGACCAAAATGCATTATGTGTTAAACCTTTAAGTCAATTTCCAACATATCTATGGGTACCAGCAGACACCCCACCTTTTTGCCATATTTATATTCGATCTCTACTACTACTACTACTACTATTTCACACTGCAATAAGTCCTGTCCTAGGGGTTTATTGTGCTTCCTGCTTTTTCTACTCCAGCTCCATTAACATGTTTGTAAAGCCACATTTTTTTGTAATTTTTTTGCTATTTGTGTCCCGCTGGGATAAGTCCCTCCAACGGAGACACAGGCAGCAAAAAAAAAACTTGGGTGAGGGTCTAACCCTTCCCCACTCTATCCAAAACTAAAAGAAAAAAAAATTGCCTTTACATACACTTCAATGTGCACATATGGATGAATATAAGACAGTAATTCTATATAAAGATTGTTTCAACTTGTATTTTTTATTATGGTTGAGACTAAAAGTATAAAATATATATGTTTGTTAGATATTTTGTATTTTAATTCCAAGCAGCAGGTGGAACACTTGCCTCCTTTTCACATGTTTACCTGCCTGTTTTGAACTAGGCTATAAAAAAGCCTGTTGTATACAGAGCTCAGTAGCTCCAATATACTCACTGCTGTATGTAATGAGTTAAATGCATCCCTCTGCCCCCCTCCTTCTTGTGCTGCTTTATTAAGACAGGGGCTGTATGGAGTTTCAGTCAAGAGTGAGAATCGGAAGGCAAACAGTTTCTAATGTGAAAACCTATAGAGTTCTGTAAATCTTGTGTGATGCGGGTTATGCTCTATTAAACACTTCTTCTTAAAACACCGATTTTATAAAATGCCAGCTTACAAAATAAACCAATTAATAAATGTGATGAAAACATTTTAACTTATACTACTTTCATCATAATTGACATTGTGATTGGTCATTGTAATTGACATGAAAGTGATTAGTCTCATGAGACATACCCTAGGTGGTATCAATGTCAGTAAATCTGGAGAATACAAATTCCCCCAGGTAGAATGTGATTAAAAAGACAGCATCTCAAGAGACCAAGGATTATTTTCCTGTGTCATTTATTGTGCTGGGAAGTATTATTACAGTCACCACTTACAATAGCAAATTACGCTTTAAATACATTTTAGAAACTGCTTAATAAAGTCAGTTTTTTAGCTTATTACAATTTACAAACACTTTACTGTCTCTAAGTTTGGGTCCCAGGTGGCTGAAATCCTTTCGGGACTGATTTTTGGGTAAAGAGTAATGTAGTGACCTAGTTTGCATGGATGAAATAAAGGTAAACGTTAAGTATGTTCAATTTGCACCAATAATGATCATACTGCAGAATGTCACGTATGTTTTCTTGTTGTCTTCCTAGGTGGTATAGTCTTGTTTGCAACATCCACACTAGTCATGCATGCCCTGAAGCTAGGATACTTTGTTGGATATTCAGAATGTATGCCCATAATTGAGGGGATATACCCGGTCACCCATATTATTCACACCTTCTTCCAGGTATGAAACAAAAGACAATTCTTAGCTGTATTCTGTTAATTATGGTACATTACAGTATTATAGCTGTGAAGGTCTACCAGCATTCTTAGGATGTATCTTAAACCAAAAACAAATGTGCACTACAGTCATGTCTAAAATCAAATACACCCAAGAAAATTGTTCGGTACTTTTTCAACATATTTGAACAGGCAAACAGATCTTCATTCAAACCGTACCTTCTGAATAATTTATTTAACAAAAATATCAATATATACAATGGTGTACTCACTGTACTGTAAAAAAAAAAGTAAGTACACCCTTGGTCTCAAAAGCTGGTATTGTCCCAGCAGAAAATACTTATTGTAAGTGTTTTTCACAGTTTTTGATATCGACTTTGTGGAATTGTTGACCACTCCTTCATGCAAAATTCCTTAAGTTGCACAATGTTTGTGGGTTTCCTTACATGACCTGCCAAAACATTTAAATGGAAATCATGGCTTTAACTAGGCCAGTCCATACCTCCCTTTTCTTATATTTGAGCCACTCATTTGTGGATTTTCTAGTGTGCTTCAGATTACTATTGTGATACAAGATCCATTCCTAGTTTAACATAGACAGCTCTCACATTCTCACTTACACTTTTTAGTAAACTTTAGTATGATGCAGCATTCATAGCTGACTGAGGACTGCAAGCTGTCCAGGCTCTGAAACAGCAAACAACCCAGATAATATTATTTTACCACTTTGCTCCACAGCTGGCATGAGGTTCTTTTCCTATATTTGGTCTGTATCAAACATGTCTACTGTAACTAAGGCCAAAGAACTCTATCTTTGATGCATCAGTCCGCAGCACTTTGTGCCAGAAGGCCTGGTCTTTGCCTTTATGTTTAGTGGCAAACTGGAGGTCTTGCTGTCATTTTCTTTTTGGATAGCAAAGGCTTTTCCTGGCACACCTCCCATTCAGGACAAATTGGTGTAATTGTTTTTCTGATTGTAGATGCATTCACTTTGACACCGAGGTGGTTATTCACTAAGCTGCTGAAGGCAGCCGAGTGAATAGCTGAGCTGAAATGAACTGAGCCGAATTACGTTCGGCTATTCACTTCGGCTCTGTACGGCTGATTCCAGCTGTACATCGGCTGGCTTCGGTCAACCAAACATGAGCCGAAGTGCAAAAGCCGTTCCGCTCCAGGTCCCCCCTGGAAAAGCACATTGTCCCCGTATACATGGGGACAAGCCCCCACAAGCCCTGATGCACCCCCCCCTTGTAAATGAGTAAGGGGCACCTGTACCCCTTTTGTTCACTAAAGGGTGACATAAAAATTTAAAATAACACACCAGACCTTAATAAAAAATCCTTTAATTGAAATAAAAACTAAACACAGATTTTGTTCCTTTTCTCATAGACTGGTGGTCTATCTCCATTACTGTATGATGTAATCAAATGTGGGTCTCCCAAAATGGTACAACTGGAACATTGAGATGCTCCACAACTAAACATACCTGTAGTGCTCAGCCATATTTTCTTGTCCTTTATAGAGCCAAATAAATGCGGAGATAACATATTAACTATGGTTGGTGCTTTTTTAGAAACAAAACCCACTCTTAAGTTTAAAATAACTCTCAAACTTAAATCTCCCTACAAAATGAGCAAATATCATTGACATACAATTGACTTGCCCAAACTGTCCATTTTTCTTAGAATTGGATGACATTCTCATAGTTTCTGTGTCAGTCGAGACAAGACTCTTCTACTCCCTGTATAACATTTTGTGACCTGCCTGGTCTTCAGCTGAGGTCTATGGCCACTGAGGCTGTTTGCAGCATATATACTCAATTCAATTTACTTTGCTTGTTAATTACATCATAACTGTGTGTGTTTACCATGGCAGCCTAAGTATGTTCTATATTTACAAAAGGTTTCCCTTGAAAAACTTGGATGCATGTAAACACATGACCCTTGTATAGAGGCCTTCAGAGAGATCCTTGCAACATAATATACTCTTTGAAAAAGCTCCCTGAAGTGGTCAAAGGCAACCTTAGGAAATAATAGTTCTACCATGTTCCCAAAATAAGAAAACCACAAAGATTGTATACCTTTCAGTGAATTGTATGGCTCCTTCCCTAGAGGCCTTGTCAAAGGATAGTGTTGTTTTTATTGTAATTCTTTATTATTAGACCACCCAGATCTTGTGGATTTCTTTAAACAATTGAAACACTGCTAGGTTTATTTAGGTCTATTTAATAAGGTACACAGCAGTGTACAAGGTAGGAACCTCAAGTAACCCGTCAAAGTTCTGTTTTTACTAGTCTGACTATGGTAAAGTAGTCTATTTTGGTTGCTTTTAGGAACTATGCTGTACATTACACCTGACAATTTTCTGAAAACTGGAAGGAAGACACAAACCCCTGTGCCATACATACTAAACAGAGTTTCTAAAAGCAAGCGGTGTTGGCTGTGCTCTCTGCTAGGGATAAGCTCAGGTTTGGACTGAACCCGGTCTGAATCTAAGCTCCTCCAAACAACCTAATCAGCTGTGAGTTGGGCATTCCCTACCCCTCAGCTGCATGTAAGCATAGGTATTTAGCCATATAAGGTCAGCGACATCACTGCATCCCTCCCCCTTGCTTGCGTCAAGCTACGGGCAGAGAATTCCTTCCGTGTTCAGGAGGAGTTTACTCCAGGTTCAAAGGAGCTCAGATTCGGATTGAGTTTGGTCCAAACTTGAGCTTATCCCTATTCTCTACCTATGACAAAGGATTGGTAGAGAGAGATGCTAGCTTTAGTTGTTAAAACTTATCAACTTAATGTAATTGAAAAAAATTAATCTAAAAAACGCTGTTCCTCTGGAAATAAATTTGTTGTGCATAGGCATCTGCCGTGGTAGTTGTCAATGATAGCGGCACACCGTACTTAGTTCCCTCTTCTCCTTGACAGAGGAAAGGATATTTAGAACGTCAATAACCTCTAATGGTTATAGGTTCTTGTTACCCCTGGGACGGTCATAATTGGTCCAGTCATTACAAGCAATGTGTGAATCTGGAGCACTGCTTTTAAAAGTTAGGCTCTTTATGGCTCCCCTAAGTCATGTTTGTTGGCCGCTTTGAGATATTGCATTCTGCTCTACTGCTTGTTATCCAATAATTGTGAAATTAAGTTCAAAAAGTTTTTAAGCATTTTCAAATGCTGATTATACCACTTACAATGTACTAGTGTACACCGGTGTCACTCCTGATGAAGTGGCAGAGAGCTGCGATACTCATGGAATTCTTTCCCCGCTAATGCCAGACCTTTCTTATTACTGAGAGGCACCCCCCCCCCCCCTCACTCCCTGCAGGGTTATTAGTTCAGCGTTTTATTGTACCCATCTTATTTACAATTTTAAATGGATTTAATTGGAGGGGATTGTGTATCATTTACAGTATAGTGCTGCAGACAGTACATAATAGGAAGGGCAATATTTTTGTGCCTAAAACTGTTGTAGTAGATTGTTTCCTGTCTCGCACACTCAGTAGTGCAGATTCACTTATATAATATGCCCTGCCTGTAGTGGCATAGAACTTGTTAGATGGAACAACAGAGTGCAGAGAGGGACCAGGCATCCAACACTCCCAGAAATGTCTGATGCAAAAGATTTTACAGCCAGTCATTTCTCTTGGCTACAGCAATGTCAGCTATGGGAGAAGGAGGTATTATAAGCCTTCTTATCTATGCAGCATTTTGTATTTAATTTAGGTGATGACACTAACGACAAATACAACTAAATAATGTGACAAATTAACAATTTAACACATATATGCAATCTGTGTTTTTGAAATGAACATTTTGAAAATTATGAATAAAACATACAGCTTAGTGACGCCCTAGTCAGCATTGCTTTTAGTATAGGTGAGAAAGAAACACAGGATGTAGACATCTCTATGCTGCTGTAGGGTCATTGTTTCTCCAGCTGAGTCTCTTGGTTCTGCTCTAAAGCATTCTGTCCATAGAAATGGTTTTACTTTCAGTAAATTTTATTAAACATTTTAATGGAAACCAACAAGTTACAGAGATTTGGCAAACATATATTTACCAGTCAGTTTTCATATTAGAGATATGCAACAGGGGGCCGATTATGTCTCACAGCTAAAACATAAAATAACTTTTTATTCCAATTCTTTTTTCTTTCATTTCCTTTTTTAACTTGGCTACCTTATGAGTTAATTTTTCAAATTGACATATATGGGTATAACAATTTTTTTTTATAGTTACATTTTTATGTATTTCAGTTTATCAACAACCGAAAACATAAATATTGCATACATGCAATATTAATGACAATTTTTTTAAACAAAACGTTAGTGAATAAAAATATTTTGTATATCCATTGAGAAACCTTTATAACTGTGTCATTCCAAATAGTCACACATAATGTAAGCATTTGTGTAACCAGCAATCTTAACAAAATGATGCATTGTTTACAGTGCACCATATATTATTTTAAAGGCAGAACCCCAACCACCAAATTCTAAGTTTAAAGGATAACTATGGGGCAACCTTTTTTGCCCATAGTTCTCTTCAGAGTCACATGAGGACATATACTGTGTCCTACGTTGACCCAAAACTCAGCATATGCTTATTGCCCGCTATATGCTGAGAGCGCAGGGCCGCTCCACAGCCGGGATGGATCCCGACAATACTGTGAAGATCCACTCCGCTGGCTCATTGAAAGCAGGCTCTGCCTATCTAGAGGCAGAGCCAGCTGTTCCCGCCCCTTCCCCATCTGTTCCTCCAGTCAGCGCTGGAGGAATGGATAGAGGAGGGGGAAATCCGCGTGGGGAGCGGTGGCTAACAGTCACCGCTCTCTGCAGGGAGATGATTGGGAAGTCAGCAATCGGAAGTGTGTGTTCGCTGACTTCCTGATTAATAGAGCCGACCTGTGACAGCTTCTTTGTCACACATTGACTTGCATTATGGGGCTTTGTATTTTTCACGCACCCCATAATTCTCCTCTAATGGAAAAGCATGTGATTTAAAAAAG